CCGCACTGCTATGGACTATGGAATAAAAACTGCAATAAAAACTGCAAGTCCATGTGCTGGAGATAAGTCTCTAGCTGCAAATGCACCCATCCATGAGCTGCTCAGCCCATGGCCCTGTGCATGGGCATCACCCATCACCTTCAAGGGGCCTCCCCTGCCCGCACTCCATGCCATCCACCACGTGCCACACTCCTGCATCCCTGCAGGGAGGCTTGGATTTGCTTCCAAGTGCATCCCGAGCGCGGGAAGCTCCAGCAACGGGAATTGGGCTACTTACCATCTCGCGGCGTCGGCTGCGTCTGGGTGAAATAACTATTGGGCTTGTCTGCAAAGAAACAAGAGAAGACACAGGGTTGTCAGGCTCCTTTCCTGCTCCTCCTCTCCCAACACCCTCTGCCCACAGCTCCCAAGCGGCTTGGGAACATCAGCCCAACATGTCCCATATCCAAGCAGGAGCATCCTGATACCAATGTCCCATTTTGCCCTCCCTGTTCCCCACCATCTAAGTGACATGAGCAGTGAAGTTAAGCTGCACTAGATGACAAACCTTCTCCTTACCGGCCAGTCTTTCCCTTCCATTGCATGCCTTGCTCTGGCAACACTTTTGAAATGCATTCCTTTGCTTTTTACCAGTTTCATGGAGTTTTTTGCATCACACAGCCCCCCCCTCTGCCTCCCAAATGCTCTTCTCACTGCAGGCACCTGGCATCTCCTAGCCTGGGAGCCCAGAGATAGCACTGCACGAAGGACTCCTGCTCCACATCGTGCCCGGAAAAAGCTGCTCCGTGGGAGCACAAACACCTGAGCAAGAAGTGACAGCGCACGGATGTACCCGCTCCCACACGTGCCATCTGCTTGGGCACGCTGGAAACCAGATCTGGGAGAGATGAGAGCTCCTGGGAGGGTAGGTTCCTCCTCACAGCTCCTGCTCCCACCAGGAGCATCACCTTGATGCAGCCGGAGGGAAGACGGATGCAGGAGCACGCGGGGAGCCGGGACCCGCGCGCGCTGCCCGGCTCCATCCCCTTGGCTCTCCCTGCCGCGCGGCCGGGCAAACCTACAGTTATTGAGGAAGAGCAGCACGGCAAATCCCAGCGTGGAGGTGGCCAGCAGGATGAGGCAGATGTTGCAGGGGATCATGAAATAACGCACCACCAAGGACACCTTGTGCTGGTAGAGCCGGTCCCGCTCCAGGGCCCCCGGTGCCATGGGGTACTGGCAAGCGGTCATGCTTGGCCGTCACGCCGCGAGATCCAAGCGGATGCTCCGCTCCCCGCTCCGGTCTTTCTTCGGCAGCCACCGGAGCTACGTTTTTCCGGAGGGTCCCATGCTCCACTAGCAGGGCTGGTCGGAGGGGTTCTCAGCAGGCAGAGTTTGTGGCCACATCTGCCACCTCAGAGCACCGGCACCCGATCTGCTCCGGAGAGGCAGCGCCAGCTCCTTTTGCAAACAGGGATGCGTGGACCCCCCCCTGCCAATAAGCTAAATAATTCCAAGGAAAAGTGCAAGGAACTCGTGTGCAGTCCAGCTGCCGGGACGAGTCCCTGGAGCAGAGAGAGCAGGGTCGGATGCTCCAGGAATTATCCAGGTGGAGCAGGCGCTGGATGGCCAGTCCCTCCTGGCGAGCCAGGGCGATGCTCACGTTCCTGGCCTGCCTCCTCCTCCTCCTACGAGCTGTGCCAGTGGGGAGAAGCTGTCAGCAGCGCCGCGGTGGCCGGGACAGGCCGGCTGCCCTCCTCACGCCGCTCTGACATGCCAGTCCTTCCGAGGCAGATCCCGGCTCCTCGCCGAGGCCGGCATGGATGCAGCGCGAGGGATGCTCCGCGCCGCGGCTCCCGCGCAGGGATTCTCCCGT